TGGGTAAAAATCTTGAATTTAATCTACTAAAAATAAGCTAACATCTTACCTATACTTGATAAAGGATTTATTTGATTCTTTTTATTAATTTCTTCTTGATATTCATCTAGAAGACTTTCTTTGGCGATTACCCCAACTATTTTTCTACCAATATATTTTTTAATTTCTTCGTTTATCCATCTTAAACAAGGGTGCTGTCTAATTTCGGATTCTTTATTTTTTTTAGTAGGAAAAAAATATTAAAACAGATCGCCGAGTACTTCTTTTGCATCCAAAATTATTTTTAAATGCCTTTCAAAAAGCCTTTCATCATATGGACGGTCTAACAGAATTTTTGCACCACAGATACAATTAACTAAAGTTGAACTTAACATTCTGGCACAACATTCATGTGCTTGAGGTTTTCAAGTAACCCATTTTTTTTACGAAAAAACCAAAAATTGAAAGATATGATACAGTATATATATAACGATACGATTTTTTGATTTTGTAATTATGAAAAAATAAGAAATAAAGATGATTGTATACAATGATTTTTGAGATTCATGTTTTAAAGACTATTTACATTTTTTTATTATAAAGTTCAATTAATTAAATTGAAACACTTGCAAAAAAAAAGAGTTTAGAACGAGTTTTACAAATAAAGCCTGAAAATCATAAAATGCTCGATCTCTAATACCATACAGATAGGTCCGCAGGATAGGTCATATTAAATCCAAGAAAATTTTTATATGAGCTCTACCTTTTTTTTTACACAAATGTGCGTATCACCTTCGGATATACTAATACTATACCTACACAAATTTTTTGTTAAAAAATTATTATTAATAATTGAGTATAGAGATATTCAGTATGGTATAACTCATGCATGGCACAACATACCATACCATGCGTTCTGCAAGAGTTATACCATACTGAATTTCTCCCTACCAATAATAATTCTATTAACGTGAACAACAAAATCAACAGAGTTTTGTAAATATATATTTTTTACATCTTCATCACTCCAACCAGAACATGGACGAAATTCAAATTTATTTGGTCTTTTGTCCTTTGATGTTGTTTTCATTACTATTTTCTGATGGCGTTGATGATATTTGAAAATAAATTGGCAAAGATTTTTGTTGTTTACTTTTACAGCCACTTGTTTATCTAAATGTCCTTCATTATTATCTTTATCCAACTTGATTTAGACACTCGCCGCGCAGCACTCTATTAGTTTTGAATTTTTAATTCATACATATATTGCTCTGATACTAGTTTGTTGTTTTAACAAAGTTAACAAAAAAAAATTACACTGGATTTGAAAACCATTTTTATTATTATCAGTCACAGGACATTTCCCGCCGATCTATAGGAGGTTTGTAAAAGTAAAATTTGGATGATCTGCATCATAGTAAAATTCGAATTTACATAGTAAAATTTTATAATCGAATGTCTTCACAC